CGTGAAGTATGCTGCTCAGCAAATACATGGAGTGTGTATCTAAAGCTGAGCTCCAAGCAGATATGGAAATGTAGGTTTATCCAGTGAAGGGTACCATTTAGAGCCGACTTAATAGCATCATGGGCCCCTGGGCAAAGAAATGCACTGGGGCCCCTACCAGCCTTCCCAAATTTACACTCCTACTCTCCAGAATGAAAGTATAAATAGTTGATAGAATTAGACATACACTATATTGCCCCAGGGTGGCACAGCGGCTTAGTGGTTAGCACTTCTGCCTTGCAGTAATCGTGTTGTGATTCCCAACCATGGCGCCTCCTTCATGGGGTTTGCATGTTCTCCCTGTGTTTGTGTGGGTTTCCTCCCACACTCCAAAGACATGCTGGTAGGTTAATTGGCTCCTGTCTAAATTGTCCTAGTTTCATCCCTGGCCATGCGGGATCTCCTGCATGGTGGGGGTTGGGGAAAGACCTGGCAACCTACCCTGTAAAAATAATTGCTAAGAGAATTCATGGGAGAAGTCGCTTGCGAGTGACAGTCCATGCAATTGACAAGGGTTGGATATGACTGAATGGATAGAAAGATATTGCCCCAAGTATTGGTCTGCCAGCCTTTCCATGCACATCAACTTTAACGGCCTCCCAGTCTTAGTCTAATGCATGGGGACACCTGATGTATGGGGACATCCTATGTATGGGGACACCTGATGTATGGAGACACTGTGAGGAGGACACTGTGATGGGGACACCTGATGTATGGAGACACTTTGATGGGAACACTGTGAAGGGGACACCTGATATATGGGGACACTGTGATGAGGGACACCTGGTGTCCAGTATATGGGCACTGTGATGGGAGAACCTGATGTATGGGGACACTGTGATGGGGGAACCTGATATTTGGGGACACTGTGATGAGGGACACCTGGTGTATGGGGACACTGTGATGGGGGAACCTGATATTTGGGGACAGTGTGATGAGGGACACCTGGTGTACATTATATGGTCACTGTGATGGGGGAACCTGATGCAGTTTGGTATTCATAGCTCCTAGCAGCGTTTAGGAGCCTGTAAGAGCATTCAGCATTTTTTTCTTCCGGAAAATCACTCTCAAAAACACAAACCAGGTTTTTTTTTCTGCTCCTAAGTACTGAGCTTAAAAAACACCTCTAGACTACAAAGTGTGCATGGACACATAGGATAACATTAGTTGCTTCTAGAAGCAGAAAACAAAACACTAAATGTTGCTTCTAGGAGCGCTTTTTAAGCTAGTGTGCATGGAGCCCAACTAACACTGATGGCCTAACATAAAATGTTCTTCTTGACAAAGCTGAATTGTAGAGCCATGCCACCACAAGGCCAATTGGGTGGCTGCCTCAGATGGCACTCATGGAAGCATGTTTGGGGCTAAACTGAGTCCTCAGTGCAGTAATTCTTAGTCTGATAAGATCACAGGCTCATTGTTACCAAGCTCCCTGCCAGCCAAACCTGCACACATTTCCATTGGGCAAAAAGGCAACCCTTCACAGTCATAGACCAACAGGAATTTGTTGGAGGCTGCAGGGAATAGTTGAACAGTGACATGACTAGGAATAAGCTCAGGCATGTTCATATTCTAGTTGAAACCCACCTGAGCAAGCCCACCAATAAGTTGCCACCTGTACTGGGTCATCATGTTCAACCGGAGTAAACTGCAGAGGGGGCATCAGGTGGTCCTCCTATATGAAAGTTGGATCACTGGTGGCAGTGGGTAGAAGCCAAGAGGACAGCAAGCCAAGGGGATAGAAGCCAAGGGGACTTGCTGCTGTGGCTTCCTCTTTCAACCTGCAAGGGATAGTTATGGCTTACACCGATGACCTAATTTATGAAGAGTTCTGAAAAGCAGGGCCATGCCCAGGGGTTAACTGACAACTCATGGGGCCCTCGGGTAATAGGGGATCATGGGGCCCCTGTGTCCTTGCCCACACTCAAACCAGATCCCAAAAAAATCCTATGAAAGGTACCAGGGGCATCTCATGGGGCCCCCTACTGACCCTGTGTCCTCGGGCAGCGCCCGAGTGCCCATATGCTCAGTCCGCCCCTGGTCATGCCACGATGAAGCCAATTGGTTGGTTGCCTCAGGTGGCACTCATGGAAGCCTCATCCATCCCTGCCATGTAACGAATAGGCTGGGTGACCTCAACGGTTGGTAAGGACACAGAGGGTGAAGGCACCTGCTGCTCCCTCAGCAACCATTGATAGTTGGAACCTGCCATAGTTGTCGAACAGCCAAAGTTCAGTCCAAATTTACAAGCCATCCAATGGCTGTTGTCATAGTGGATCACATGTGCAGCACTGCAGATCAAACAGAGGCTAAGATGGCAACTACCTTGGATGTAAAGAATGGGGGGGGGGGGTTTTAGTTCCACTTTAGGTAGGAAAGTTGGGTAATTAAGTTAACCGACGCATTCTGCTGCTGCGAAATTTGCCCTGAGCACCTTGGCTTCTATTACCTCCAGTAATGAAAAGGTTAAGACCGATACAAAATTTGGGTCAGTTGCTATGGATACCACACTCTGAACTTTCCCTGTTTTATTGAATAGGCCCGCACACGTCCTTACTTTTGGTTACCATGGCAGCACTATGAGGTTGGCAGAGCACTACACCTTCCCTTTTTTATCATCGTTGAATCGATCGAACGGCCAAAGTGATTGATACCACGCCAACTTTCTCTGGTTAAAGACAAAGGACGACCGCCGTTGGGATGTTCAGTTCAGCTCACATTCACACTAGAGTAGCACTCATCAAACTTTGGGACAAATGATCGATCGTTTTCCAAACTATTGTCGTTTTCATATCCTATGATATGATTTTCTTCTTCGATTGCTTGAAATGTTTTTGAGTGCGAAGGTTCGTTCGCACCGGAGTGTGTCGCTGTGCATTCTAACTAATTGCCCTCCGCAAGGTTTTACCCCCTTCATGACCGGGGCATTGTTTTTTGCTATTCAGCACTGCGCCTCTTTAACTGGTAATTGCTCAGTAATGCAACATTGTATGCAAATGAAATTTATACCATTTTTTCACACAAATAAAGCTTTATTTTGGTGGTTTTTTTGATCACCACTGGTTTTTTATTTTTAGTGTATAAATGAAAAAAGAATGAAAATTAAATAAAAAACGCAATATTTTTACCTATCCAATGAAATCAATTTTCTTCATAAATTGTATTCTGCTACATGTCTTCGGTATAAAAAAAACCCCAATAATCGTATATTGATTGGTTTGTGTAAAAGGTATAGAGTCTACAAACTATGGGATATATACTAGAATTGATGCAGTTATGGCTCTATACTGGCAATGGTGGTGATCAGCGACATATAATGTGACTGTGATAGTGTGGCGGACAATCTGGCGCTAGCAGACACTGGCTGGGAGGGACACAAACTGACACTGGCATCGCCAGTGACACTAATACAGTGATCAATGATAATACTATACACTGTACTAATGACACTGGCTAGGAAGGGGTTGACATCAAGGGGCAATCAAGGGGTTAACTGTGTTCCTAACAAGTGTAATGTGTGTAATACGCGCTGCTTTCACTCACAGAGCTAGCTGCTTTTTCTCCCTGAACCCAGATTTGATTTCAGGGAGAGGAAACAGCCAGATCGCTGTTCTGTGTACAGAGTTCAGTGTTTGTAAACACAGAACTCTGTGCTGTGATTGGACACAGCCGATCAGCTGATTTCATCCAAAATCACTGGCTGAAATCAGCTGCCAAAGTATCCGATTACTGTCTACGCCCCCTCCTGTAGTTTTCTGTAGTGGGTCTATATGTTGGGCCCCTCCCACAACTCTGGTCTCTGCACAGGCTACGTACATGTACAGTAGCGCTACTCCCGTAGGAGCCGCTGGTTGTATTGGGTTCTCTGTTCTTGCCTTGACCTCAGCACTGATCTTCACACCGCTGACACCTTGGGTTTGCAAGTTAATGAGCAAAGACTGATAATTTTCGGTCACCACCTTGTGGCCACCCTGGAAGGAGACTTGAGACTTTGAAGCAAAACAGCAAAGTATATTGAGAAAAGTAACAAAAGTCAAAGTAACACAATAGAGGGAATATTGCAATGGAGAACACTTTGCGGTACATATAATAATAAACGGCAAATAATGTAGTGGCTGTGCTATCTTCTCGTAAGGTCACCATAAACTGCAGCTTTCCCCAATAAAATGAGCAGCCTAAGGCGGTATCAGGAGAATAGTCACCTAGAGTCAATTATGATGAGAATGCCGGGCCTAGGCCATAACTGGATGAGTCCAAGATCTTCACCACTTCCAGTCCGGACACTTTCCCCCCCTTCCAGTCCGGACACTTTCCCCCCCTTCCAGTCCGGACACTTTCCCCCCCTTCCAGTCCGGACACTTTCACCCCCTTCCAGTCCGGACACTTTCCCCCCCCCTTCCAGTCCAGACATTTTCACCCCTTTCCAGTCCAGACATTTTCCCCTCCTTCCAGTCCAGACACTTTCCCCCCCTTCCAGTCCGGACACTTTCACCCTCCTTCCAGTCCGGACACTTTCCCCCCCTTCCAGTCCGGACACTTCCCCCCCCCCCCTCCAGTCTGGACACTTTCACCCCCTTCCAGTCTGGTCACTTTCACCCCCTTCCAGTCCGGACACTTTCCCCCCCTTCTAGTCCGGACACTTCCCCCCCGTCTAGTCCGGACACTTTCACCCCCTTCCAGTCCGGACACTTTCCCCCCCTTCCAGTCCGGACACTTTCCCCCCCGTCCAGTCCGGACACTTTCACCCCCTTCCAATCCGGACACTTTCCCCCCCTTCCAGTCCGGACACTTTCCCCCCTTCCAGTCTGGACACTTTCACCCCCTTCCAGTCCGGACACTTTCCCCCCTTCCAGTCTGGACGCTTTCCCCCCCTTCCAGTCCGGACACTTTTCCCCCCTTCCTTTCTGGACGCTTTCACCCCCTTCCAGTCCGGACGCTTTCCCACCCTTCCAGTCCGGACACTTTCCCCCCCTTCCAGTCTGGACACTTTCACCCCCTTCCAGTCTGGACACTTTCACCCCCTTTCAGTCCGGACGCTTTCCCCCCCTTCCAGTCCGGACACTTTTCCCCCCTTCCTTTCCGGACGCTTTCACCCCCTTCCAGTCCGGACGCTTTCTCCCCCCTTCCAGTCCGGACACTTTCCCCCCCTTCCATTCCGGACACTTTCCCTCCCTTCCAGTCCAGACACTTTCCCCCCCTTCCAGTCCGGACACTTTCACCCCCTTCCAGTCCGGACGCTTTCACCCCCTTCCAGTCCGGACGCTTCCCCCCCCTTCCAGTCCGGGCGCTTTCCCCCCCTTCCAGTCCGGACGCTTTCTCCCCCCTTCCAGTCCGGACACTTTCACCCCCTTCCAGTTCGGACACTTTCCCCTCCTTCCAGTCCGGACACTTTCCCCCCCTTCCTGTCCGGACACTTTCCCCCCCCCCTTCCAGTCCGGACACTTTCACCCCCCTTCCAGTCCGGACGCTTTCACCCCCTTCCAGTCCGGACGCTTACCCCCCTTCCAGTCCAGACACTTTTACCCCCTTCCTGCCCAGGCCAATTTTCAGCTTTCAGAGCTGTCACACTTTGAATGACAATTGCGCGGTCATGCAACACTGTACCCATATTAATTTTTTTTGTATTTTTTTTGCCTATCACTGGATCTTGCTCCCTGTCTCTCTCCCAGATGGGACCTTCCCTTCTCCGTACACTGGCGTCTCTCTCTCAACTGCCCCACGCTTTCCCCGGGCTTTTCAACTTACATGACCCCTCCTGCATTTAGGCACACCGGAGTTTGTAGCTTTCTATGTCTGTGTAGCTCTACACTCTTAGGAGTTGCTGAGTTTTGGGTCCCCCTATAGTCCTGCACAGCCAGGAAACACGTATTTATTCTTCACACTTGCACCCGGGAGTCAGAAAACAGTCCTTGAGCTTGTTTTGTTTTGGTATTTTTATTAGGGGTATTGAACCTGTATAGGGATGAGGGGTGTATGGGATGCCCAAGAGAATGGCAACTTGAGGACAACTCCTTAGCAACTAAGTCCACAGACCACGATTCTCTTCTTGAAGAGCTCTCCAGCCCTCCTGGTGTGCTGCCTCAGACCCCAGATGAATTCTCTTCTTCACCCAGCTGCCTGAGGGAATCCATGAGCAAGAGGACCCAGAAACTGCCACTTTAAATCAACAGTCCTGGATGGGAGCTAGTCAGGTTTCCCACCTTGCCCTCTTCCCTTATCCGGCCCAGGGGGTGCAGGATTACTCACTCAGTCCTCTCCTGCAAGCTTGTGGGTTGGTGGTTGTCTTCAGGCCTTATGTTGGCCTGGCTGCTTCCCAGGCTGTCCTCTCTCTGGGGACAGTTGAGGTTGAGAGATCCTCCCTTCCAGCTCCTACCTGCAGGTAGGCCCATCTCCAGGGTCCCCTAACATGCTCCACACACCATCCTGCTCAGTCCAACTTCCACCCGACAATACTCCTGAGCAGGCTCAATCATACTTAAAGGCTGCCCTGGCCCCAGGCCAAGCCTCCTGCTTGGGGATTGGCCAGAATCCCCTGAGTATGCAGATCAGCCCCTCCCCACCCCCACCCACTGCCTTCCAGAAGCTTATCAAATCTTTAGAGCAGATAGAGGTATCAGGGAACTGATCTGCAGAGCCCTCATCCCTGACCTGAAAATGACCTGGCTGACTCATCCCAGGCGGCTACTCAGCTTCTGACAGAAAACCTATCTAGCTTCCCCTAGCTAACCAGAGGGGCGTTACATCTGTAATGATAATGGGATTCCCTCTGGCTGGGACTACATTTCCCATAGTGCAGTGCTCTAACTGAAGACGAATCCGAGTCCATAAAACTCCATCTTGTGACAGAAAAAGGAAACTTCTTGTAAGAATGTTCACCAAAACAATGCCCTAATGAACCTACACATTTCAGTTACAATGGGTCTTGTTACATACAGCACAGTGATTATGTACTTTTATAAGGTAATAACTGGGTTTGCGAGGACATTTTGTTGCGCACAAAGAGGAATTATCTCCTTTGTGGCTATTATAATATATTATTAAAAGTTTTCGTGTCCGGAGTTCAGCTTTAACAATACTGCTGACCCCGACGCTCAGTGAGCGCTTCGAGAAGTCCTGATTTAATGGAGAGACCACGTCTCATCTGCACATGGGTGGCACGCCCGCTATTATCATCCAACGCGCGCTTTTCTTGACAGAGGCCGCGCCATCGGCTGGAAGAAGAATGTGTTTGATGAAGGGAGGAGGGGGGCCATTAGTCATAAGACGCGGTAAGATCATTGAAATGCAGATGTTCCAGTATTGAGAGGGGAAAGAGCAGCGAAGACAAACGCAGGAGAACAATCAGCGGGAAGACTTTGTTGGCACCAACACTGAGAGCTGCTGAATATTCATCTCATGGAGCCTGGGATGATGAGGTTCAAAGGAATTCTGAGATCTCCAGCAGGAGCTCCTTTATTTCTATTTTTCTGGAGTGGCCACTAATATTCATTATTATTGATATCTAAATTTAGGTAAATGAAAAAAAAAATCAGCACTAGGGATGCTACGTACATTTAATGCAAAATGTCCCTTGTGCTGATGCCAGCTGTGTAAATCCAAAGACCTCTGCCCCCATCCAAATCCCTGCCATACCCAACAAATCAGCACAAGGGACAGTACTTACAATGAATGCAAATGTCCCTTGTTCTAGTGTTGGACGTCATAGTGGAAGTTCTCTGCCCACCATCCCCCCCACAGCTGCAATCTTCTAGTGCTGTAGGGGTTAATACCAACCACAGACACACAACGAGAGTACCGACTCTACCCGCCCTTTCCACCCCCTAAATTTAGGTGAATTTAAAAAAAAAATCAGCACACGGGACAGTACTTATATTTAATGCAAAGTGTCCATTGTTCTAGTGTTGGACGTCATAGTGGAAGGTCTCCGCTCACCATCCCCCCCACCATCCCCCCACAGCCACAATCTTCTGGTGCTGCGGGGGTTATTACCAACAACAGACACACAACAAGAGTACTGACTATGCCTGCCCTTTCCACCCCCTAAATTTAGGTATATTAACTAGTTGCCGACCAGCCGAATGACAGCTGCACTGCGGCCGGCCAGTTCTGGGTGGACGTCATATGACGTCCCCCCAGAACGCGCTCTCCTGCGCGCCCCAGGGGGCGCGCACCCGGCAATCTTCATGATCGCTGTGTCCTACGGACACAGCTGATCACATGATGTGGTAAAAGGCCAATCATACCGGCCTTTTACCACGTGATCAGCGGTGTCCAATGACACGCTGATCAGAGGGAAATGCAAGTGCCGGTTCTCGGCTGCACTTTCCTCACGCTGTCAGATCATGAGGAAAGTACTGCCGAGAACCGTCAGTTGTCACAGCGAGGATTGGCACGATCATCAGGGCACTGATGATCAGTGCCCTGATGATCGGTGCCCAGCAGTGCCACCCACAAGTTCCGCCCACCTGTGCCCAGCAGTGCGCCCACTAGCTCCGCCCACCTGTGCCCAGCAGATCACCCACCTGTGCCCAGCAGTGCACCCACCTGTGCCACTCTGCAGTGTCACACACCTGTGCCCAGAAGTGCCACCTACCTGTGCCCAGCAGTGCCACCCACCTGTGCCCACCCACCTGTGCCCACCAGTGCCACCCACCTGTGCCCACCAGTGCCACCCACCTGTACCCACCCACCAGTGCTGCCCACCAGTGCAGTGCCACCCACCAGTGCAGCCCAGCAGTGCTGCCAGTCAGTGCCACCAGTCAGTGCCCAGCAGTTGTGCCAGTCAGTGCCGCCAGTCAGTGCCCAGCAGTAATGCCAGTCAGTGCCGTCTATCAGTACCCATCATTAGTGTCACCTATCAGTGCCACCTATCAGTGCTACATATTAGTGCCGCCTATCCGTGACACCTCATTAGTGCTGCCTATCAGTGCCGCCTATCTGTGCCACCTCATTAGTGCTGCCTATCAGTGCCCCGCCTATCAGTGCCGCCTATCAGTGCTGCTGCTGCCTCATCAACGCACATCAGTGAAGGAGAAAAATTACCTGTTTGAAAAATTTTATAACAGAAACAAAGAAACTTTTTTTTTTTTTTTCAAATTTTTTGCACTTTTTTAATTTATAGCGCAAAAAGTAAAGCGCCCAGTGGCGATTAAATACCACCAAAAGAAAGCTCTATTTGTGAGAAAAAAATGATCAAAATTTCATATGGGTACAATGTTGCATGACCGCGCAATTGTCAATCAAAGTGCGGCAGCGCTGAAAGCTGAAAATTGGCCTGGTAAGGAAGGGGGTATAAGTGCCTGGTAGGCAAGTGGTTAAAAAAAAAAAAATCAGCACAAGGGACAGTACCAGGGGCAGACTGACCATTTGAAAACTCGGGCACTGCCCGAGGGCCCGGGGTCAGTAGGGGGCCCCATGAGATGCCCCTGGTCCCATTTTCATAGGCTTTTTTAAGTTTGGGCAAGGATACAGGGGCCCCATGATCCCCTATTGCCCAGGGGCCCCATGAGTTGTCAGTCTGCCCCCAATAATCCTCATATTTACCCCCAATAATCCCTATATTTACCCCCAATAATCCCCCATATTTACCCCCAATAATCCCCATATTTACCTCCAATAATCCCCATATTTACCTCCAATAATCCCCTTATTTACCCCAATAATCCCCCATATTTACCCCCAATAATCCCCATATTTACCCCCAATAATCTCCCATATTTACCCCCAATAATCACCATATTTACCCCCAATAATCCCCCATATTTACCCCCAATAATCCCCCATATTTACCCCCAATAAATCCCCAGTTAAAGTGGAACTGAAATCACGGAGGGACAAGATGACAAATGACAGAATCGATGGATTTTTTCCCTCTTCATGTGACCATGGGATGTGAGCGTTGAAGAAGCCCGGGGTTTTATTGCATTGTTCTGAAAAATTGTTATTAGTTTTCTCTTCTCGCCGTCTCTTCTCTTCGGATATTAGAAGCCGATTGGAGAATCAGCCCGAGACAATTTCTCTTCTTGTAATCTGGAGGATCAGAAGAAAGTTGGCCAAAGTTTTAGCTGGAAGCGTCTGACTTTTCCGAGGGGCCGCGTGTTCTTCTGTAAACACCGTGTCCTTCTTCTCTGTAATTCTCTTCAAATTGATTGAATGGTGAGAACTCGGATGAACCGGCTTCTGACTACAAAACACGACCGCTCAGCTCTCATGTAACTTCTTCTCTGCTGCCGGGAATATTAACCAAATACCGGGATTGTATGAGATGTGAGGGTGCTGGATGGGCAACGTTGGTGCTCAGGGGTCCCCTCCAGCCAAGAGAAGGGGATACAGGAATATTTTGACCCACTTGAAGACCAGGCCTGTTTTGAAATATATTGAATATATTTTTTCTTCCGTGTGGGTATTTACTCAATGTTTTATATTTTACAAAAAAAAAATGAGGTATATTGATACCACGGACGGGCTGAAGCGATTGGGTTT